GCCAAATGTATTTGCAATTACTGGAAGACGCTATTGACCCTGCCTTGACTGATATTATTGAAAATGTTCCAGAGTATGATGAAGATCATTTGATTTTTCAACAGGACGGTGCTCCTCCGCATTATGCGTTAATTGTCCGTCAGTATTTGGACCAACGTTTCCTACGGAATTGGATTGGGAGAAGAGGCAGCATTGAGTGGCCTCCACGATCACCGGATTTATCGCCCCTTGATTTCTTTTTGTGGAGATACCTAAAAAGTAAAATCTATAAAACACAGCCAGCGTCGCTGGAAGATTTGCGTCAAAGAATCGTTGACGAATGCTGTCGAATCACTCCGGAAATGCTTCGGAATGTGCGCGAACGTTTCAAACAGAGAATCTTTATTCTAGTATGGAAGCGAGCGGTCATCAGTTTGAACATTTAGGCCGGGTTTTATAATGTAGGTTTAAACTTGAAATAGGCGTTTAAACTGTGACCTTGAAAAAGTGAACGTTTTATACGCTTAGTTAATTAGTAGACTGACGTTTAAACTGGTGAGTAGGGTTTAAACTTTAACCGCTACAAAAGCTCCGTTTAAACCACACGTTGAAGTTAAACGCTACTATGGAAAATATTTTGTACCCATAGCACAGTGTTTTAGTAAGGTTAATATGTGCCCATAGATCCTAATTGTACCATAGACCTGTCTAGAATTGTACAGAAAATACCATAAAATGAGAAAGAGAGCATAAATAACCTTATAAAAATGGAAATTAACGATGTAGTGGATGTAGATGTTTTCGAAATGTTTGATGAAATATTATTATCGGATGAGGATGAAGTCATCATCAGTGTAATAATTGAGGCCCCAGACAGCCAAGAAATTTTGGAATAAAACCCAGTCATATATGGAGTGAGGGTAAATTTATTAACAATTTATTCCAAAGTTTCAATGCGTGTATTGCTAGAACAAATTCAGCATTGTTATTTGTTAATCGTTTATACGTAATAAGGTACATACCTACTGAAGTGAAGTTACAGATTATGACAAACAGGTGTGCTAACATTGCATTTCTTAAATTTGTTTATAAGACGTTTCTCTAATCTTTAGTTTAATCCGAAAGTTAAACTCTGGTTTAAACTATGGATTAATCTTAAGTTTAAACGGTTATTATACAACCCGACCTTAATCTACTAAGTAGTAAGTAAGCAACTAAACATAATTTAAATTTTAAAATGTTAATTTTTTTCAAAGTATTGGGCGGAATTATAAAATTTAAAGTCTGTTGTAAAGAGAATTGTAAGAGTTTTCAAAAGAAATATTACTCAACCCCCAATGCCGTTTAAATATTTTGGGGTGATGCTTATCCTTGCTTGGGGGTGAAAGTGGCGGAGTCAAAAGTACCAGCAAAAAATGTCCTTCTTTAATCTAAAATCGACGGGTCTGAGCTTTTTTCTACAATCTTGACGCAGTTTCTGAAAATAGCTTTGTTTCGTTTTCATTTGGCCACCCTGTATATAAAACAATGGTTGCATAATATCGCTGGAAGATGAAAATATTTTTTTGGCAGTGTAACTTTAAATATATATTTTTGCAATTTAAAATATATTGAACATCCATTAGCACAATTTTGTTATTGTCAAAATAATTATCTTTTACTTTGGAAATCAATTACACAATATCTGTTACAACTGTAAGTAATAGTAAATCATTTCCCTACTATTCGTCGAAAATTTGAAAAATGTCTGTTCAATTAAAGTGAAGGAACCTCTTGTATGATTTTTTTACTTAATAAGTTTGTACACTGGGTCCAAAATAATGATCACGGAGATATTTAAAATGGTGAACAATACAGAGTGTCAGAAAAAAAGCTGCATTATTGGAAAGGGGCAGAGTATAGTCAGATGTATTCTGAAATAATCAAGTTTTTCGATTTTCTATTTTGTTTTTTTCTGACTGGACACTTCTGTATGTCAACTTTTTTGTATTTTCTCACGAAAATGCTAGTTTTGCTCTCGACATTTCGTTTTCGATTTAAAATCAGCAGTTTTATTCTTTTAAATGTCAACCCTGACTTTTAAGATCCATTGTTTCGAAATATTTTTAATCTTCGTTTGTTCGCTTATGGTTTATTACGTTTTCTGCCTTCATCGGAAGTTTTTTTTAATATTGTTTGTATATTACTGTTTTTTATTTTAAATGCTAGAATCAAAATTTCTAAAGCTAAAGCATTAGATACAGGTTGTTACAAAATCGCTTCTCAGGGAATCTCGGAAACTGTAAGAGATACGAAGTAGCTTAAATGGGGGCAAAGGTGCATAATCAGGGGACCAACGTTACGCCTCTAAAAAATCAAGGCTAACATGATTAGTTTTCGAAATATCTGAAAAAACGGAAATTTTGGAAATCCGTTTTTGGTTTATTTCAGCTATGTTTGAGGTGACTTTCTCATGGCAACTTTTTGCCCTCTATCCGAATGGCATAATCAATTTTTATATGTAACGTTTCGTCTTTCCAGGACTAACATCAACTTCATTTTCTTAAATAGGACCCTGCACATTTTATTAC